CTGCCTCTGATTCCAGCTTCCTTCTAATGCAGAATCAGCTCAAGTAATTGGGCACCTGCCACCTCCATAGAAGACCCGGATTGAGTTCTTGGCTCTTGGCTTCAACCTGGCCCAGCCCTGGCCACTGTGGGCATTTGGAGAATGAACCAGTGCATGAGCGTTTCTCTCTGTCTATCTCTGTCTCTGTGTGTGGGTGTTTCTCTGCCTTTCGAATAATAAAGAAAAAATATTTAATAGCCAGTATGGTACAGGTCTTACCCAATCAGAACCACAGCCAGGCACACACTGTAACCTTTGTCCAAGAGACCAGGACCCCTGCATCCAGCTGGGGAAGCGGCGGAAGACGGGGGCCTGAAGTCCAGCAGCGGGGCTGACATTGAAAGGTGAGCACCTGCCAGTGTGACCTGCTGCTTTCCTGCCTGCAAAGGACTGCGCAGCTCAGCCTGGGACCCCAGGGGTCCTGCAGGGCATGAGCTAGATTTGTCTTCCTGCCTGAGGCGATCACCAATTAGATGTGCTGGGAGGCGAGCTGGCCTCCCGCCAGAGGAGAAGGGGAAGGGATTTACAGGATGGCTCTCTGATCTAACTTATTAGAGGAGTTAAAGATACCCAGGCAGGAGGCAGCACAGCACAGCAGAGGTGTAGCCAGGATTCAGATCTCGACTATGAGGAGGCGAAGGAGCTTAGACAGGAGTTCCTGAGCCTCTCTCGGGCTCAGTCCCCTCATCTGTGACGGGGAGGACTAAAACAGCACCTACCTGGCAGGCCCGTGATGACGACGAAATGACCTCACAGCCTGGTGACAGCCCTGGGTGCAGCCGGGCACAGGGGGGCTACTCCAGGTGGGAGGGGCGATCCAGGAACCCCTTCGGGAGGGGAAGGGAGCCACACCCACTGCATGAAGGTCGGACTCCAGGGGCAGTGGCGGTGTCTGGCCCGGGGTATTCCAGGGGCAGTGGAAAGCAGGGCTCCAGAGCAAGGTCCAAGGCCTCTCAGTTTGCACCCAGGGTCCTTCTCCAACCCAGCCCACGCGGAGCGAGGTGTTGTTTGTGATGAGATAAACGACCTACACTTGGGCAGCACTGGGAGCTGCCACTTCCCCGCCGCAATGAGAGAACCAAACCAGACCTTAGCTGACCGCGAGGGCCACGCCTTCCACGGAGCGCTCCCCGGATTTTCTGTAATCACCCCATGTGACAGGCAGCTGCAAACCTGCCCGTTGGCACAGCACCCATGGAGGCTGTGAAGGAAAATCCACCTGCCTTTGATGGAACAGCATGGGGTTTGGGGGAGCTCGTGTGGGCTTTGCTTCGGCTTCTCCAGCTGCGATGTCTTTGGTGGATGTATGACGAAGGGAACGTAGGAGGCGTGGTGGAGCCAGGCCGTGCCAAGCCGTCTCTGAGCCAGGGGTGCACCTCCAAGTGGCAGCCACCACTGCGCTTCCCCTCCCCTGAGCTCTGACTTCCTGAGCCTGACGCCAAGTGCACCCTGGCATTTTCCAAAAGACACTTCCTTCCAGCCTCCCCCAAAACTGGGCTCGCAGGTTCTTTGCTCGGCTGTGCAGACTTGTTGTGGGAAAGCTTAGATAGATAATTTTAAGTTCACAAGCCGGAAGCCGCACCATTGCTTTGTGTTGCGGTGTTTATCTACCTGTCAATCAGGGGACCCTTCCCCCAGGAAGTACCTCCTCTTACCCCAGACGTAGGGCGTGGTGCCACATAAACACTTCCGGTTTTCTAAACGCATAAAAAACTGGGAAGTGGGCTGGCGCTGGAAGTAGATTAAGCTTCCTGCGGTGTCGGCGACTCATATGGCCAGCAGTTCGAGTCCCAGCTGCTCCACTTCCCATCCATCTCTCTGCTATGGCCTGGGAAGGCAATGCAAGGTGGTCCAAGTCCTTGGGCCCCTGCATCCGAGTGGGAGACCCAGAAGAAGCGCCTGTCTTCTGGTCGGCCAGCTCCAGCTGCTGTTGCCCTCTGGAGAGTGAACCAGCGGATGGAAGCCCTCTGTCTCTACCTCTCTCTGTGTTAGGAAAATGGCAAAGTTTTATCTATGGCGCGATCTATACCCTGAGCCATCCTAGGCTTAGCCCCTGCTGCCATCGCTGGAGGCCAGGTGGCCACATGGCCCAACCACGGGTGTCAGCTCCACCCCCACCCTAATGGGATTCGCTGCTCCTACTTCCCTGCCGGCCCTCCGGCAAAGTTTTAAAAGGACCTCTCCTGGACCTCTCCTAGACCCAAACCTAGCCCAAAACAGAATCACACCAGGAACTAACTCTCTCCATGTATTTTTATTTTTTATTTCAAGCCAGCCCCAAACTCCAGAGCAAGTTTTTAATCTCGAACTCCACCTCCCCCTCCAAAAAAAAGAAAAAGGAATATTTAGAAAGTTTAACTGATAGCTCCACAGCCAACTCCCAAGGCAAGGCATCTGGAAAATGTATTTAAGAATTGATTTAATGTTGAGCCATGCTAAATGCTTTAATTTCCAGGCAATGCAGTGCCCACCAATGAGTCCCAGCCATCAGGCAGGACTATTGGCTTCTGTTGGGGGATTCATTTATTTCAGCTCTGCTAAGAAGGGGGAGGGGTCCAATGCAGCAACAAGGGAGTGACACCCAGGCAGAGCAGTCCCAGCCTGCAGGGAACCTGGTTCGGCACCGCCTCTCTCTGCCGGGAGGGCAGCGATTTGCCTGGGAAATCCTCATGCAGGTGCCAGGACGTACCCTTCCCTCCCCACATCTCTCCCAGCCAGAAAACAGAAGCTGATTGTGGGGCAGAGAGGCTGAAGGATTTACAAGACCATTTTTGAAATTATTTTTCCTTTGGACGACTTATAAATGCCAGGGCTCTGTCCCAGCCCCGGTTGAGGCTATAGGTCAAGGTCAGGGTCTTCTGCCGCCTGAAGCATCCGTCGTCTGTCTGCTGGGGGCCACAAGGGCGATGCTCTCAGGCCACTCACCACCGGGGCGTGGCCGTTAGCGCCAGCAGTGGGCAGCCAAACCGGAGAGCCCAAGAGCCAGGCGCTCCTAAAAGCAAACACAAGGCGAGAGCAAGCGTGAGTTAGCGGAAGGTAGACTCAGCCTGCCCAAGTGCCAGCCTCTCTTGGGAGCCACGCAACTCCCCAGGTCGATTCACTCGACTCCTAAGTGGGAATAAAGACTTCAAAGGGGCAGGAGTTGGGGGGGGGGGGGACGGTGGCAAATGCAGTGACTCAGCAGGCCGGGCTCTGCCTCAATCCTGAGTCACCTGGGGAGCTTGTTAAAAATGCAAATTCCAGGATCCTCCCCTGGAGATTCTGATTCGGCACGGCTGGGAGGAGGCCCCAGGATTTGTGTTTCAAGCAGCACTCCTAGATCATTCTGGTAATTATGCAAATTTAGGAAAGGAGAGAGAAGGTCTGGCGGCCACTGGCAGCCCTTGCTTGGGCAGCTGCCTGCGGCCACACCGCCCTGACCGCGCCCCTCTGATCTCAGAAGCTCAGCAGGGTCGGGCCTGCTTAGTACGTGGAAGGGAGAAGGGCAGGGAATGGTTGGTTAAGGGGCCCTCTTGGACAACGTTCATCAAAATGACAAACAGCAGGGCCTGCATTTGACCTAAGAGTTAAGCAGCTGACCAGGACACTGGAGTCCCACATCAGAGCCTGGCTGAACTTCCAAGTCAGCTTCCTGCTAATGTGCACACTGGGAAGCAGCAGCTGACGGACCAAGTGCAGAGGCCCGTACCACCCACGCGGAGGACCTGGATTGAAATCCTAGCTCCTGGCTTCTGCCCTGCCCAGGCCCAACACTGAAGGCTTTTGCGGAGTGAGCCAGTAGATGGGAGATCTGCCTCTCAAGTAACAGTAAATAAAATAAGACATCGTATTTAAAAATTACAATACTCTGTGGCCCGGCAATGCCTCCCTGGAAGAGTTTATCTTACAGACACACCTGCACACAAGCAAATTATACAAGCTCATTGGCTGCAGCGTGGGTTGTAACAAACTGCAATGCTTGTCCACAGAGATCTGGCAGTTACAGCACAGCTAATAAAACCAACAACTGCGTAGCTCCTGTGCCTGGATATGGAACTGTCTCCAAAGTATACTGTTAGGTGGAAAAGGCAAGGTGAAGAACAGGACGTATAATAAATTTTTTGTGAATGTGTGGAGATAACCACATTTGACTTGCTTGTGTGCATAGCTTGTCTGTGGACCGGCAAGAGGCTCGGAGCCTTGGTTACCTCTGCAGAGAGGACGGGGGTGGCAGGAAGAACATGGGGAATGCAGGGAAAGTTTTTTTCTCTACCCTTTGCAGACTTGAACCATGCATGGGCACATCTGTTCATGCAAAACTCGGTAACAGTTAAAGATAAATTTTAGGGGCAGGCATTTGGCTCAGCGACTTAAGTTGTCACTTGGGACACCAGCATCCAAGTCACAGTGACTGAGTCTAATCCTGGCTGCTCCACTTCTGACCCAGCTTCCTGCTGATTTGCATCCTGGGAGACAGCAGAGGACGGCTCACATACATGGGTCCCTGCCCCCTACATGGGAGACCCAGATGGAGTTCAGGGCTCGTGGCTTTGGGCTGGCCCAGGCCTGACTGGTGTGGGCATTTGGCAAGTGAAACAGTGGATATAAAATCTGTGTGTGTGTGTGTGTGTGTGCACCTTTCAAATAAAATTTTTTAGATGTGTAACAATTTCAAAATGAATACGTGTTATAGCTCAATGAAAAGTTTTAAGACAACAATAATACAGCAAAAGGCGTGCCTCCTGTTTGCAGGTGCCGCCTCTGGCCACTTGTGGCTGCAGAAATTGGGAATCCTGGGATTCGATATCCCCAAGGAAAGGCGGAGCAAGGGAACAAGACAGAGACCTCCGAGTCAGGCAAATGGGGGTGCCATCCCCCGGGTGCTTACTGGCGCTGTTCCCTCCACCCAGGGCCACCATCCATCCGCCTGGCAGAGTCCATTTATCCACGCTCCATGCCCCAGCCGGACCACCGCTGATCTTAGGAGGTCTCTGTGACCTCTCTGCCTCCAGCCCACCGCGTACCTTCCCCACCACGCTGCCTTGCGGTCGCCCGGGCACACTTCCTGAGGCTGGCGGAAAACGGAATTAAAAGGGGGAAGACACGGCCCCGGGGCGGCCTCTCTTGAAGGCGATCTCACCTGTCTCCTGCCCGAAATTCAGGAATACCGGACCACGAGCTCGGAGCTCGGAGCTCGGAGCGGGGTGCGGGGGACAAGGACTTAGGGTTTGTCGCCGGGGGGCAGAGACCCCAGCGGCCGCCAGAGACCCGCCCCGTCGTCGCGCTCCCGGCCCTGCAGAGAGGACGGCGGGGCAGGCGCCTGGGGTGGCTCCGCTCACCTGCGGGCGCACCGGACGGGGTCCGGCTGGGCCTGGCGCTGGCGGGCGCGTCCAGCCAGGAGCGGGTCCTGGCGCCATCTAGTGCCCACTGGAGGCTCTGCAGCTGCGCGGCGCCGAGCCGCCGGCGCTGGGCGTGGGTCACGGCCGCGGCGTTCTCCGGACCCAGGGAGGCGATCTGCTCGGCGGACAGCTCCTGCAGGTGGACACCGGACAGCGTCCTCAGCGGGGGACCGGCCCGGCTGCCCCAGACCTCGGCCCACCGGTCCAGGGTCCGCCCCATACCCGCTCCTCTTTACCGTTGCCTTAAAATCAGATCACTCTTTCCTTGCTAAAATTAAAGGTATTTAAAAATAGGACGTCTTAAGCGGAAATTTTCGAAAATGGAAAAGCCAGCCGGGCTTGCCGTAAGCAAGCATCACATGGAAGCCCATTGTTGAGCCCTAGCAAATTTGTTGGCCAACGTCAGAAGTCCCTGGCCACTTAAGAAAAAGAAAGAAGAGAAGAGAAGAGAAGAGAAGAGAAGAGAAGAGAAGAGAAGAGAAGAGAAGAGAAGAGAAGAGAAGAAAAAAAAATTGAAACGGGAGAAGGGGTTAAAGGGTGTGATGGGGATGTGAGGGACCGACCGAGGCTTTCTCCCCCGTGTGCACAGAGCACTCAGGGAGAGCTGGAAGAGTTGGGATTTTTCTCCCCAGGTGGCTTAGTGCTGTTCACTGCAGGGCCAGAGGCTTCCCCACGCTCCGGCCCTGCACCTAGGAGTGCCCCGTGCAGACCGGCAAGCATAGGCCTGAGCTCCAAGGACCCGGGTCAGAGCCCCCAGCTCTGCCGCATTCTGGCTGTCACACGGCCCCTCTGGGCTTTGGGGTTGGCTGTGGGGTGGCTAGGAGGACTCCAGTCCTTTGGTGTGACTGCCTTTGCACCATTAGGACTCCAGGGAGGGAAAGTGCAGTGATCTATTGGTGATGTCTGCCGTGGGCAGCAGGGGTGGGAAGCTCTGGCCGGCTGGCTCTGAACAAGACACAGTCTGCAGTCAAGGCATGGAAGGATGCTGCTTTTCAGGGAGGGCCTCTAAAGCTGTCCTGCTTATTTTCTGAGGGCAACAAAGCACTGGGCAAGGCACCTGGGCTCCCTCATCCCTGCCTCTTTCTCCTTGCTCCCCTAGGCATCCCCGGAGTCCTATTCCCCTGCTCACAGCTCTTCCCAGCTCCCCTCCAGGACATAGCTCAGGCTCCTGAATGTGGCCACGGCAGCTTGGAGCTCTGGGTCTTCAGCCTCATGCCTGGCGCTCTTCGCTCCAGGAGAACCATCATCAATTGTGGCGTAGTGGGTAAAGCCACCGCCTGCAATGCCGGCATCCCAGATGGACGCCCATTTGAGTACCAGCTGCTCCACTTCTGATCCAGCTTCCTGCTAATATGCGTGGGAAAGCAGCAGAGGATGGCCCAAGTGCTTGGGTTTCTGCCACCCATATGGGAGACTCAGATGGAATTCCTGGTTCCTGAGTTTGGACCAGCCTAGCTCCAGCTATTGCGGCCATTTGGGGAGTGAACCAGCGGATGGAACATCTCTCTCTCTCTCTCTCTCTCTCTGTCTGTCTCTTTGTAAATCTGCCTTTCAAATAAATCTTTAAAAAGAATTAGTTACAATCCCCAGAGGGCAACGCTTTTCCATGTACTCCCTTCTATAGGGGATGCTATTCCTCCATCTCCACCCAGCTAAGCTGCTCTCCCGTATTCAGCATCACCTCCTATCCTCTTGGCGCACACACACACACACACACACACTCACACACACACGGCACAGGTGCTCTCCTTGTCATATCCACCATCGACACAGAGTCTTGTGATAAAAAAATTATCTATTTTTGCCAATGTTGCTGACTCGTAACCCACAGGCCAGATTGAATCTCTACGTGATTTCAAAAATAAATTCAAGTTGGCTGCCAACATTTAATTATCAGGAGATCCCACATGGAAATGAAGAGTTCTAGCTTCTTCTCCAGAAAAGGGAGAGTATAATAGTGAGCCCATATGGCTGCCCCGCACTAATGGAGATAATGAACAGCCTCCCGTTTAGACAGGGCTCTCTCTTGGTCCTCTCAGGCCCCACCCAGCCCGTTGCACTCTCCCGTGTACCTCCCAGCCCACCGAAAGGCACTGTGTTCTAACCCCTTCCCCAGCAAATCCGCAGGTGCATCTAACCCAGAGCCAAACTCAATGTGTCTCCTTAATATTTTTCCTCAAGTCAGCTGAACTATTTTTATTTCAGTTTGTTTTAGAAGAAAATCTTATACAAACCCACAATTCCGCATCTGTAAATCTGAAGTCAAAAAAAAAAAAAAAAAAAAAGGTCTGAGAACTGAAAGGTTCTTCTAAAGTTTAAGAAAAATTTCTTTACTAGAAAAATTTGACCTGAATTGATGCGAAGCTATTTGTAGTCCCTATTTACTCCAATTAGTATGACTTCTCACAAATTCCTCCATGGAAATTATTAATGTGTTTGCTTATAAGGTGCTTCCCTGGGCACTGCTGTGTTAAGGTACATACAACATGGGGCCAGCACTGTGACTTAGCGTGTAGGGCCACCACCTGCAGTGCCGGCATTCCATATGGATGCCAGTTCAAGTCCCGGCTGTTCCACTTCCCATCCAGCTCTCTGCTATGGCCTGGGAAAGCAGTAGAAGATGGCCCAAGGCCTTGGACCCCTGCACTTGCATGGGAGACCTGGAAGAAGCTCCTGGCTTCAGATTGGCGCAGCTCTGGCCGTTGCAGCCATCTGGGGAATGAACCAGCAGATAGAAGACCTCTCTCTCTCTCTGTCTGTCTCTACCTCTCTCTGTAACTCTGTCTTTCAAATAAATAAAATAAATCTTTAAATAAATAAATACAATTAGAAGACAAATTTAAAATTTCAGAACAAAATGTTTTTACAAACTTTACAAACAAAACATTTTTACCCAAACTTCTCTCGTGAGCCCATGTCGCTGGCACATGGAGCCCCTCTGGCCCTGTCAGCAGAAGCCCAATTCCAAGCCCCGAGCAGCCCGGGCCCGACACCTGTTTCCCAGTGGGGTCTGAAATGGGGTCGAGCTCCCATTTCTCCTTGAAGCACCGGGCACCTACTTTGAATATCTCATCAGGAAGGCATTTTATTGCTGATGGCTGGAAATACGGCATCAAATCCTTGTCGAGCAATCGCAGCTCTGCCTTAGTTAATCCAGCTGGGGAGAGAAAGGAATCACGAGGGTTTAGTTCAAGCCATCGGAACTCTGCTTGTTTTATTAATGGGGCTGCATAATGATCAGATCCGCGTGTTAGAGGCAAGCATCATTCTTTACAAAAGACCCTGAAAAATCACACTGGGGAATCAAGTTCCTTAATCAACTCAGGAAAAATGTGGGTCACATTAGCCTTGATTGGCCTCCTGTGGTGCAGTGTGTGCCCTGAAGGAGTTTCAATTTACACACTTTCAGATTGTGTATAAATCTATTTATGGGCCAATTAAACCACCTTCTACACCAGTGTTCTTCGAGCTTCCGTGTGCACAAGACTCTCCAGGAGAGAGTGTTTAAAAAGCAGCCTGTAGATACCACCTTCTGCAACATCAGGTCATGAAATCCAGGCTTGCTGTAACTCTATTGATGTTTGCTACACGTGGCCAAGAACTATTTTATCTTTGACCTCAGCTTTAATTTTGCAAAAAGGAGACAAAGGCTGGGTGCACACAGCGCCTCTTACCTGCAATGGTCCCAAGCTCCTGCAACACAGAGCTCGTCCACTCAGTGGGGCGGCCAAACACGGCTTCTGCTCTCTTCTTAAATTCGGCCAAGACATGAGGGCTGCAGAAAAGGGTCCCAATTCTGGCCACCACCACCCTGGGCAAAGAGGGAGGGATAGAGTGTGAGCTCAGGGAATTCCCCAACAGCAAGAGTGAGGGTGCAGAAGGTGGGTAGACTCAGCAACAGGAGAGGGTCCTGCTACTTCCACTCCTTATGTTAACCTCAGAAAGGGACAAACCATCAGGTAGCAGAGAAGATCTTGATGGAGGGAGGGAAGAAGGGAGGGTGGGTGGAGGGATGCGTGGGTGGGTGGATAAAAGGATTGATGAGTGGATAGGATGGGTGGATGGATGGTGGATAGTTGATGGATGGGTGGGTGGGTGGGTGGAGGGACGGATGGACGGGTGAAAGGATTGATGGGTGACGGATGGGGGGGTAGATGGATGGATGAATGGGTGGATGGGTGGGTGAGTGGATAGATGGATGGATGAATAAACGGATGGGGGGTAGATGGATGGGTGAATGGGTGGATGGGTGGGTGAGTGGTTAGATGGATGGATGGATGGGTGGATGGGTGGGTGAGTGGATAGATGGATGGATAAACGGATGGGTGGGTAGACATATGAATGAATCATTTGCCATTTTGCACACTACCATTTTGGTTACCTGAATTCTGAGATCTTTATCAGTGGGATTTCAGTGATGTTCATAGCACACAGGGTTGCACCAAGTCCTACTAAATGAAAGCTCTTCAGATCCTGGATACCATAGCCTGAATCCTCAAGGAACCCTTGCAGAATGGATTTCATCTACAAAACACGAAGAATTATTTATTTCAGTCACACTCCTGACCTGTAAACAAGTTCTGCCTCGGTATCCAAACTTCCGGCATCTGTTTCCACAGCTTTCCAACAAAATCTAACTTGTCTCTCTGCCTTTGCTCAAGCAAGTTCCTCCACCTGAAGTGTCCTCTGCATTTCCAGCTGCTGTAATCCAGAAATCCTTCCTTTTTTTTTTTTTTTTGTTCTGTTCAAATGTTACCTTCACCATGAAGTTTTTCTTATCTCAATCACAACGAATTTTTCTTACTCTCTTTCTACAAAAATATTTTTCCCCCTTCCTCCTCAACTCTGGAGAGTAAGTATAGAAAATCCTTTAGTGTTAAAAAATCACACAGTGAGGAGCCAGTGTTGTGGCACAGGTTAAGTTGCTGGCTGCAATGCAAGCATCCCATACAGGCGCCAGTTTGAGTCCTGACTGCTCCACTTCCAATCCAGCTCCCTGCTATTGTGCCTGAGAAAGCAGCAGAAGATGTCTCAAGTACTTGAGTCTCTGCTACCCACATGGGAGACCAAATGGAGTTCCTGACTCCTGACTTTGACATGGACCAACTCAGGCTATTGCAGCTATTGAGAATGAACAAGCAGATGGTCAATCTCTCTCTCTGTCCTCTGTAACTCTGCCATTCAAATAAATAAATCTTTTTCAAAAGTCACATGATGACATTGTCAATAAACTATTATCTCAGAAGGCTAGTGTGTAAAACCCTTGTAATTCTGGCATTGTGACCACTCACTCTTCACGACTTCCCCTGGAGAACTAAGCCTCCTTACATCCCTTTCTTTAAGATTTATTTATTTATTTATTTGAAAGGCAGAGTGATAGGAAGAGAGTGGGAGAGATAGAAAGAGATCATTCATCTGCTGGTTCACTCCCCAAACCGCTGCAACAGCCAGGTCTGAACCAGGTCGAAGCTAGGAGCCAGGAATGCTATTCAGGTCTCTCAAATGGGTAGTAGGTGACCAAGTACTTGGGCCATCTTCCACTGACTTCCCAGGCACATTAACAGAAAGCTGGATTGAAAGAAGAGTCGACAGGGCTGGCGCAGTGGGCTAAAGCCCCAGCCTGTAGCACTGGCATCCCGTATGGGCGCTGGTTCATGTCCTGGCTGCTCCCCTTCATATCCAGCTCTCTGCTATGGCCTGGGAAACCAGTCGAAGACAGCCCAAGTCCTTGGGCCCCTGCACCCACGTGGGAGACCTGGAAGAAGCTCTTGGCTCCTGGCTTGGGATCAGCCCAATTCTGGCCATTGTGGTCATTTGGGGAGTGAACCAGCAGAATGGAAGACCTCTCTCTCTCTCTCTCTGTCTCTACCTCTCTGTAACTCTGTCTTTCAAATAAATAAAATAATTATTTAAAAAGAAGAAGAAGAAAGAAGAGTAGACAAGATGCAAGCCTAGTGTTCTAATATGGGATGATGCCATTGCAAGCAGCAGCTTGACCCCCGTAGTTCAGTCAGAGCTACTGAATCCTGAGTTTCAGGGGTAATAATATGGCCTAGTCCTAGCTAATCAAAGTATATCTTTGCCTAGCTTCCTTTGTAGGTTCTGGATTGGGCATGTGATCCAGCCAGGGCCAATCAGGCCTTTGGCTGGAGTACTTTGTGGAGAAGAGCTTTCTGTCCTCTGGACTTGAATAAGCAAGGATACAAGGATCTGCTAGGACCTGCCTCATGGATAGAGTCTGCCTCTGAATGAAGCTAACACAAGGAAAGAAGAGTCCAAAAACACAGTGAGAGAGATTCCTGACAACAATGCTGAAGCTCCTAGATCCAGCCATGCCGGGTGGAACTTCAACTTTCCAGGTAAAAAAAAATAGTCAATAAATTGCTTTTCATGTTCAATCCAGTTTGTGTTGGATTTTCTGCCACTGGCAACTAAATGGACCCTGATATGTTTTATCTGCCTATGCTGGACCTGAGGAAGGGTCTAAGCCAACCCCGTGGAGATGATCTGTATAAAAATCCAGGTCCTTCAGTGCTTATGGGGGCAGGTGGTAAAGACTACAAGAGCTCTTAAGGTGAGATGGGGAGGAGACCCCTCCCCCCAAGGACAAATGTCTTCTGAGGGGAATGAAGGTCATAGGCAAACAGTTAGATACTCTTCCCAATTCCCTTCAGTATCATTCATCCCCATCCCACAGTGTGGCTCATCAAAGCATGAGAGAAGTTGTTGGGAGAAGTTGGGAAATGTTGCAGCAGCTTCCATTTTTCATGAAGCCATTGCCTTCCCATCCCTCCAGTGTGTTTAAGGGTTGCCTCCTCCGAGAAAGCTGCCCTCCGTCTCCTCTGTCTCAAACAGCCTCCCTCCCCCACCATTCCTATGAACACTTGTCCATTTTCTGCATAACATCACATTTTTAAAAAAAATTTTTCAGATTCGCTGCTCATATTGTTGACTCCACCATGTAGACTCCCAAAGACCAGAACCCTACCTGGCTAGATAATCATTGTATCCCCAACACTTAGCATAATGCCTGCCACACAGTGGGAATTCACTCGGCACTTTCTGAGTGAATGGATGAATAAATGAGGGGAGAACTGAGTGAGGGGTCTGTAGAAGTCTCGAGCAACAGGTACTCCTTTGAAGTGGCATCTTTGTTGCCCTTGTCATGTGGTGGACAGGGAGGTTTCTATCTCCAGGGAGATTCCCCGTGTTTCTGCAAGACAGACTGGCGGGTGTATCCATTAAGTTGCTTTCAATGACTACAAAGCTCATGGCTACTGCAGGGGAGTGTCGGTACTGGCATGCTTAGACTTACCTGTCTTTGATTGAATGGAAACAGTCACTCAAAATCATAATAGCTAACATTTATCAAACGCTTATTGTGTGCTGGCACTATTTTGACCACTTTACACACCCCACCTAACCCACATAACATTCCAGAAGCTAAGGCCACCCCTGTCATGTGTTGCTTAATGATGGGAGAGGGGGAATAGTGAAGACTCTTGGGGTACTGTGGGGAGCAACCCGGACTAGACTAAGTTACTGGAATTAAGACTTATTCTATGCATCTGCTCTCTCACAATATGGCGCTGGGAGAGGAGAAAACAGCTTCTACGCAGCTGCCTCTTGCCAACTTGAGTGATGACCTCCAGGAGCTGATCCTGCTCCTGATTGGAGGAGAGCAGCGTACTCGGCATGTGGGCAGCCGAGTTGGGATTGGCGGAAGAGGACTATAAAGGAGGAGAGAGACAACATGCACCAGGAACATCTAAGGGGAACATCTATCTGAAGGAACACCTGTGCAGCCCCCGAGAGAGCCGGCCGGCGGTGTGCCGCTCCCCTGCGGAAGTGGGGAAAGTGGCCGGGGGAACTGCCCTTCCACGGAGGTGGAAGGGACAGTAGCCAACCCGGGAAGAACCAGCAGCAAACCCGGGGAGGGCCGAGCAGACGAAAGAATGGTGCAGGGTCCTGTGTCGTTCCTCCATGAAGAGGGGGAGCGACATAATGGTGCCGTGACTCGGATATGAAGCCTAGGCAGGGTTTAGTGTCGTTCCTCCACGAAGAGGGGGAGCGACAGGTACTAGTAATGCTTTTGTTCTTAATTTGAGTGTTGGTTATGTTGGATGATTAGAGGACTAAAAACTCATTTATCTGTACAATTGGGTGCCTTTCTTGGTATATACACTGTATTTCAATAATTCTTTCAAAAGAAATACATTAATAAGTGATTTTTGTTCTTGTGTGAACAACTAGAGTATATTTACACAAATCTGGATAGTATGGCTACTACATACACATCTGATATATATGGTAATCTGATGGGAACCACTGTTGTATGTGCAGTCTGTCTTTAACCACTGTTCCACAGCACACGACGGTGTTGATATGTCATCTGTATCACAGATGAGCAGACTGGGGCACAGAGTGGTTAAGTAAGTAGGCCAAGGTCACCCTGCTAGGAAACAATGGTCCCAGGATTAAAACCCAGAAGGTACAACTCCAGAGCCTGCACTCTCAGCCAATGAAGAGACTTGGCTATGGAGAAAAGATGGAGACCCACGCTAACTTGTGGAAATTTCTTCTGAAGTCTTCACGATCAGGCTTCCCTGGTTGTCTCGTAGCAATCTGCGCCCCCTCCCCCAACAATCAGGCATGCCCATTTTCAAAGGGAAGTGCAAAAATACAATTCAGATAGAACTACTCTGAAGATGCAGTACTAAATTGCCCTTGCCACTGCAGCCCAGAAAGTGCAAGCTCAGCCCGCAAGGTGATAAGTCAAAATACATTTCCCCGAATGACTGGACCAACGCATAGGTAATGATTCCAAGACAATTAATACCAATACTTCCAGGCAATATTAACTGCTGAAAATGAATAGCTGTATGATTTCAATCTCTCTGTGCATCCCTCTGCCTCTGATAATAGTTTTTTTTCTCCATTTTATTGGTTTTTAAGCTGAACTATCTGTTAATGTAGTTCCACCAGGTCTGCCTATTAATCTAGAAACATGCATTTACGGATTTGATTGGGAGCTAAAGTTGAAGAACCGACTGCAAGTGATATATGCAAATGTTAGGTTTTCATATCCTCTTCAAACATATTGATAAATCTCACTGCCATCCATGGGAATTAAAATTGGTGCAAAGGGAACGAGATACTCTAGTTTCTAAGTTGGATATATTTTTCTGTTTCTCTCAGACTGCAAATAGAATGATTTTAATATCAGAAGTGTGATGTGGCACTTCCCAAACTAGTCAAAACCAGTTTGAAAATCACAGAACCGTGAGATTACAGAATGTCAGGGTAGAAGAAACCTCGGATGGTTGAATCTAACCCTTGCATCTTGCAAATGAAATTATCCAAGAGAATGGAAATATGATGATGATGATGATGATGATGAAAAAACTAATTTTAATGGGCTTATGTGTGCCAGACATTGTTCAAAATGTTTGTCCTGTGGTAACTAATTTAATACTCCATTTTGCCCAACTAGGGAAGGGGGGCATCATTCACACTGTATTCTAATTGTGTGGTACCACTCACAGACATGGGACATGGCAACGTGGCTTACAAAAAGCTTATGAGAGGGGCCAATACTGTGGCATAGAGGGTAAAGCCACTGACTGCAGAGCCAGCATCCCACATGGGCTCCAGTTCGAGTCCCAGCTGCTCCACTTCCAATCTAGCTCTCTGCTATGGCCTGGGATAGCAGTAGAAGATGGCCAAAATGCCTGGGTCCCTGCACCCACATGGGAGACCTGGAAGAAGCTCCTGGCTCCTGACTTCAGATTGGCTCAACTCCAGCCATTGTGGCCATTTGGGGAGTGAACCAATGGATGGGATCTCTCTCCGCCTCTGCCTCTCTGTAACTCTGCCTTTCAAATAAATAAATAAATCTTTTTTTAAAAAAAAGAAAGTATATACACTTTCACCTATATTTTAAAACAAAAGCTCATGAGAGTAAGGAATGTGCATTGGTTTTGCCTGGCCACCATCCATTCTCCCTTTGTTTAATAACAAAAGCATACTTTTTCTTTGGAGAACTACTCTCTATTAGTTTCCTACTGCCACTGTAACAAGTTACCGCAGACTTAGTGGCTTAAAACAATCCAAATTTATTCTCTGAGGTCCTAAATCCCAGCTTGAATCAGTAGGGGGTGTTCCTTCTGGGGGAAGTTTATTTCCTACCTTTTCTGCTTCAGGAAGCCACCTGCGTCTCTTGGAACATGGACTCGACCTGCAGCTGAAACGCTAGCAGCACAGCACCTTCAGTCTCTCTGCATCCTTCTGTTTCCATCACCACACCACCCTCTCCACCTGTGGCCCTCCCACCTCCTTCTTGTAAGGACCCTGGCAATTATCCTGGACCCACTTGTAGAACCCACGGTAACCTCCCCATCTCACAGACGCGAAATTAATCCTACCTGTCCCTTTTGCCACCTAAGGAAACTACCACCTGGATACCTTCCAGGGATCTGCACACAGACCTCTTTGGGGGTCTTCACCAGCCTTCCACACCCCCTGCCCTGCTCACATGGTCATGGGGAAATGGACTCCACTCCCTGATGCAGCCCTGGCCAACCAACGCATTCTACCCCCAACCACAGCGATTGTTCAGTGAGAGGCAACAACATGACTGGAGTTTATGTTGGGACTTTTCCCAAAAGTAAAAGAGACACCTTAGAGGGGGCTGCTAATTAGGGGGTAGATAAGCCTAGTGCTGAAATTGACCATGGCGGGGTCGGCATTGTGGCATAGTGCGTAAAGCGACCACTGTGATATGGAGACTGTGATACTTGGAGACCTGGCGGCTCCGCTTCCAATCCAGCTCAGAAAGCAGCAGAAGATGGTCCAAGTCCTTGGGCCTCTGCACTCACATGGGAGACCCGGATGAAGCTCCTGGCTTCAGCCTGGCTCAGCTCTGGCCTTGCGGCCACCTGGGAAGTAAACCAGCAAATGGAAGATTTTTCTTCGTCTCTTCCTTGCTCTCTGTAACTCTTTCAAATAAATAAATAAATAAAAATCTTAAAGAAAAAAAGAAGGAAGATGAGCGTGGAGGAAGAGCTGCCGGATGATGAAGATGACACAGGTGAGCTAGACTCCCCTTTCCAGCAAGGCAGGGCTTGGACCCCCGACTTCTCTCCCAGCCGGCGGGGTTACAGTTCCTGGTAGGCTGTCCTCGTAAGCCACTGAAGGATTAACTGCCACTGGAAATTTCCCCCACCATAAACTACTAGCAAACTGAGCAAAACCTCTCAACAACTGTACTCAGATATTGGACCACAGGGAGCACAGGATTGTGATCCTGAAAGGAAAATAAATAAGGCAAGCCCTGAAATTGCCTGTGCCGGGCTGTCCAGAGTCCATTTTCGGCACACAGATCAGGAGAGGGGAACCCAAACAGGCCCAGTTGAAGACACACGGACTCGAGTTCAAAAATTCACAACCAAGCAAAGCCAGCTAGTTCCTCTTCCCCATCACACTTGGCTCGACAGTAAGTAGTGACCACTTCCACCAACCCCTCTAGGAAACTAAAAAGGTTTTGCCATTAATTGATTCAATCAATATTTATTATGTGGTAAAACATACATGTCTAACCATACATTCTTTCTTTAAAGAAAAATATGTGCTACTCATCTTCTGTGGATACTCTGGTCTATTCCCAGCCCATACACACAGGCAGCCCCAAAGGAAATGAAATCAAACTCCTAGAATGTTTTCTTTCCAGGTAAGCAGCCTCGGAAAACTGTCAATCTACATTTTTCTATAAATAATTATACAAAAGGTAGAGAAATCAAGGACCATCCAAGTTCAGAGAGGCCAGGACACCTATCGTTTGCTGGAGAACGCACTACACAGAAGGAAGTTGCACAGAGAGCCAGCTCCAGAAATCTGCAGAGATGTCTGCTTAGGGACTGCGCGCTGATTTGCACATGCAAGGAGCGAAGCCCCAAACAGGCAAGGAAAGAATCATAGGAAAGCAGTAGGCGAAGCAGTTCCCAGGGCTCATATGGAATTGAAAATACTTCACATCCCCATCAGCCAGGAGGAGAGATCCTGCAATAAATGGAGCTCTCAGAATAACAGTGTTGGGGCCAGTGCTGTGGTGTAGCGGGCTAAGCCTCTGCCTGCAGTGCTGGCATCCCATATGGGCACTGGTTTGAGTTCCGGCTGCTCCTCTTCTGATCCAGCTCTCTGCTGTGACCTGGGAAAGCAGTAGACGATGGCCCTAGTCCTTGGGCCCCTGTACCCCTTTGGGAAGACTCAGAGGAAGTTTCTAGATCCCGGCTATGGATCCATGCAGCTCTAGCCATCGCAGACATTTGGGGAGTGAACCAGCTGATGGAAGACTTCTCTCTCTGCCTCTGCCTCTCTGAAACTCTGCCTTTCAAATAAATAAATTAATTTTTAAAAAACCAATGTCTCCATCATGAGGGTAAATTAGCCACAGAGTAAGGATCACTCTGGCCCCACCCTAAGACAGCTCAAAAGAGAGCATCCAAAGGATCAAACTGATTTGAAAGAAACTTAAATGCACACCTGAACAGAGCCCAGGAGTCGTTATAGGAATACAAGTTCATCAGGCATCAGCAATATGGAATTCATAATGCTCACCGTCCACTCAGTTCTCTAGGCTTGCAAACAGGTGGGGAAACATGATCCACAGCTAGGCTAAAAAGCAGTCTTGGAGAAACAGACTTGGAAATGACGGTGTTGAAGGCACTGGGAGCGAGGAAGCAAAAGCAGCTGCTCCAAATGCCGGAACCGTGTTTGAAGATGTAAGTGAAAACATATGCAAAATCAAGAAAGAAACACAGCCTAGTGTTGAAAAGGCCTGGCACATGGACGCACCTGTCCTGGGGCCCATCCTGCCTGCTGGCTCAGGGAAGCCACGGTGTCTATGGAGCTGAGGTCCAGCTGCTGCAGCTCGCTCTCGTTCAGAGCCAGGGCAATGCGCCCCAGGGAGACGACTTGGTGTGCCCTCCAGTGAGACGGCGTGTCCCAAAGCTGCACCGGCAAAAGGAAGCAGATCAGGTTGAGCGTCACTGGTCTGAATGAAGTCGTGTCCCCCTCCCTCCCCGCAAAATCCATACATTGAAACCCAACCCCTGATGTGGCAGCCTTGGTGACGAGGTCCTACAGGCCCTACCCTCTTGGGATTCCTTTCTGGTGTCCTTTGGATATGGTTTGGACAGCCCCCAGGGGTCCATGTGGTTGCAGAGTTCGTTCCCGGGGTGTTGGTGTTGGGAGGTGCTGTGGGCTCTTTAAGAGGTGGGGCCTCATGGGAGGTCCTTGGGCCTTCAGAAGGGATCAGGTATTTTCTCTTTTGAGCCCTTGGTGGTTCTGGGAAGGCGGCAGATGATGGCCCAAGCACTGGGATTTCTGTCACCCACATAGGAGAACTGGATTGATTTAAGGGCTCTTGGCTTTGACCTGGCCCAGTCCCAGCTGTTAAAGCATTTAGTAACCAAGACACTGTGGCAAAAAATGACCTAAATGAAAGATCTCTGTGAGTGAGATCCCAGAGGAAAGAATGGGCTATCAAAGAAGGAGGTACCTTTCTCCGAAGGGAGGAGAGAACTTCCACTTTGACTATGGCCTTGTCTAAATAAGATCGGAGTCGGTGAACTCAAGAGGCTTTCATAGCCTTGGCAGCTCATGACAAGAGCCTCAGGTGATTACTGACGCCATAAACAGAGTATCAATTGTTAAATCAACAACAGGAGTCACTGTGCACGTGGTCTCCATGTAAGACCTCTGTCCTTAATGTGTTGTACTATGTGAATTAACGGTAAAACTACTACTCAAACAGTACTTTATACTTTGTGTGTCTGTGTGGGTGCAAACTATTGAAATCTTTACTTAGTACATATATTAAGTTGATCTTCTGTATATAAAGATAATTAAAAATGAATCTTAATGAAGAATGGGATGGGAGAGGGAGTAGGAGATGATATGGTTGTGGGTGGGAGGGTGGTTATGGGGGAAAAACCGCTATAATCCAGAAGTTGCACTTTTAAAATTTATATTTATTAAATAAAAGGTTTTTTTTTTAAAAAAAAAAAAGGAAAAAAATGTCCACAAAGCCAGTTAAGTGAATGAAGCCAAAAATATATGCCCACATTTTCAGACAGCGTAAGTGCCAGAGTGCATGACAAACCAGGGAGCCCACAGGGCAAGAGCGCCTGAGTGCTGGCGGACATTACCAC